GGAGCCACATGTGAGGAAGCCGACCAAGGTACTGCTGAGATGTGGACGTGCGTGAGGGAGCCGACCAAGGTACTGCTGAGATGTGGACGTGCGTGAGGGAGCCGACCAAGGTACTGCTGAGATGTGGACGTGTGTGAGGGAGCCGACCAAGACTCACTATCACTGGTAACACTCTCACACACAGTGAGTCAACAATGGCAGGATACTTTCCATGACTTTGAGAACCCAGTCACCCCCAATCACCCCCAGTCTACACACAGTCTACCCCCAGTCATCCTCAGTGTACATACAGTCAAACCCCGGTCCACCCCCAGTCTACACATAGCCTACACCCAGTCTACCCCCCTTCTACACACAATCTATCCCTGGTCTATCTCCAGTCTACACACAGTCTACTAATGGTGTATCCCCAATGTACCCCCATCTACACACAGTGTACTCCTGGTCTACCCTCAGTGTACTCCTGGTCTACCCTCAGTCTACTCCCGGTCTATCCTCAGACTTCTCCCAGTCTATTCCAGCCGGTGTATACCCAGTCTACCCTAGGTCTCCCTTCTGGGTCACTGCCGATTAAGGGACTCCTCATTTTGCTGGAGATTAAACCCCTCCTTTGTCAGGAGGTCACTGGCCTCCAAATAGGTTGTGAAAGTACCATTTTCTACCCGCTCTCTGTTGTGTGGCTATGCATCTACTCTCAATACACTGAGGCATTCATGTGGTTTCCCAGTCTCTCAGGTCACTGGTTCTCACTTTTAGGGGGGCCCTGGCAAACTAACATGGACTAGTTTTTCCATAAGCGCACTGGCTCCCAGCTGCTGTCTTATCCAGCTTGAGCTTCAGGTTTCTCCATTGGAAATCAAATGTCCAGAATGACCCATGACAGTTTCAAAGTGGATTCAAATGAAACCGATCTATTTTCTCCATTTACAAGTTGTTCCAAATATTTGGAGCTTAATAATTAAGCGAAATTAAGCTAAAACAATTATGGTTTTGGATTGAAGTCCTTACTGGGCTCCCCCACAGGAGTCAGTGGCTGAGGAGGAGAAAATAGCGAATATCTCCTGGGGTCCTGCGGATGAAGCGCGCGGGAGCAGATCCTGGGTCCCGCCCCCAGCCGCCCATCTCTCTGCGCCCCGTACGGTGGGTGGGAGCGCTCCGGGGCGAAAGGGGGGCGAGCTCACGGGGAAAGGCAGGACACCTCCCGGAATGAACGCAGAATAGCATCTCCGTGACTCCGGCTGCACTATCCCGTCCGCAGCCGCCGTCTTTTCACCTTTTACATTTTCCAGGTCTCACTATGGAAGTGACGAGGAACAGACTGATAATATTTATCCTCTTTCAGATCGGTAAGACGTCTACATTTTGCGTTAAAATATCTGTACGTTTCAGCGGCAGGTTTTTATAGAAGAGCGATATTGCGCTGGGAAATTGACGGCTTTGTATCCTTCCTTTGACTTTGGTCTAGAGTCGCTGCGCGCACTAAGTTTTGCTATTATTGTCCTGCGATTTTTTTGTTATTAAACAGTTCAAGGCATGGCTGTTTGGACTGAAAATCATTTTGCGTATATGAGCGAATGGACGAATTGAAAAACGCGTTTCTGAAATAGCAATTTACTTGAAAAATGTGAAAAATGTAAGCAATTAGTTATGCCCTGGCTTGTTAGATATGATCTTCGAATTTCTTGCTGTGTTAATGTTATGGTCTATTGAACTGCTAATTTATATCACTGTTTATAAGTATTTAATATATTATTAAGCAGTTTAAATGCATCTGAAAGCGATGCTTCGGTAGGAGTTCATTCGCTAGGTTAGGATGACGCGCTATGCCCGTTTGTGTTTTACGGCAATAAGGAAAATATAAAAGTTCTACATCATTTACAGTCGCCTGTTAGTTTCACACACCCCTAAAGACGGGCTTTCACTTTTAATGGGATGTCAATGGCTTTTCAAACGTCAGGGACAAGTTCAGCTGCGGGGATCTGAGATGGAACCGGGGAAAAAAAAGTTTTAATTTATTAGCGTTTAATATTATACTTTTTAGGTTTTTAAATATTTTGCATGAACTTCAATTTAAGAATCAATCAATAGGTTATTAATTTAAAAAACAGTCATAGTACAACCACGTGCTTTATAAAAGTCGCAGGTGGCAAATGTTATTGTGCGTGCGTCTTCATAACACGACGTTACTAGGCTACTACCACTGTTAATAGTAGTAGTAGTAGTGGTAATAATACTACTGCTACGACCACTACTACTACTACTACTAATAATAATAATATTAATAACATTTTAAAATGACCAAAGATACGTTCAAAATGTAGAACATCTTGTCAGACGTTGAAAATACGTCCCCTGAGGAACCATAATGAAAGTTTTTGTGCAGTCTTTCTTCTGAACGTCCAATATTGGACCCTGCATCTGTCTTGCACGTCCACAGACGTCCAAAAAGTCAAATACTGATCTGCACATCTTGGACCAAGAGGGGTTGTAGTCCGTCATGCAGGCACACAGATATGGTCCTAGACCGACCGATGCAATCCGGATATGATCTATACTCATCTGGCAGGCATCCAATGCTTGCTGGGCATGATCCTAAAGGTCTACCCGAGCTTCTGAGGTCCTCTTCTGCTGAAGCAGTGATCTTGCCCAGTTTGTAGCCTACATGTTTAGCCGAAATGGGGCCGGCGGGGTTGGGTTAATCTGTTAGATGTAGTGCCATCCGAAGCCAGCGGCCTCGGGGGAAGCGGAGCCCCCTTCCCTGGTATATGGGGCCGCAGACCTGCTCCTCCCTCGGTCCTGGGTCTGTAAGGCTTGCAGGGTGGAGACATGGTGCCATCTGTTTCGCATTTTCGCTGCATGACCCGGGCAAGCTGAACGTCCTGGAGATGTTGGGGAAGCTGGAGACCCGAGCAGATGGCTGAAGCTGTGCGGGCGGTCGGGAGTGCAGAGCCCCGGCGCTGCCTTATCACCAGCTCTGACTCGCATATATAACCGCAAAACACAATAATGTTCTTTAACGATTTCTGTTTTAAATTAGGTTCTTCGTGTTTTGGTTCTGATACATTTGGCAGACGTTGGAATTCGTGGATATAAAAAGATCACAGAAACCTTTGGGTTTAACCTGAATGCGCTGCATAACCTGGTTTGAATTCTTGTGTTTAAGCCGGCATTGCTGGCCGGTAGTGCTGTGTTACTTAAGTGAAATACAGATGGCTCATTTCGGCACAGTAACCGCCTTATCAGCGTCAGCGTTGGCTGGATGGAAATGGAGGCATCCCGGCTGAATGCCGAAGTACAGGAGCCAGAATCTTTCTCCTCCTCCCCTCGCAAAGGGAGCTTAGGAGACCCTTCTCAGCCGCTTGGCATGCCTGGCACTGCCCGTTCCTTGGAGCGGGAGAAAAGGGGCACCAGTTCCCAGCACACGGCAGCTGAAGTATCCGATGACAGATTAGATGGCATTAGGCTCGCCGCATTCACCGGCCGGCGAGCGGGACGCGGCCCGTCTCCGGATCCGCATTTCTCTCGCAGTAGATGGTGCTGAATAGGACAGGGGATTAGGGACGGGGCCCCGGGCACTGCGGGGCGAGGGCCCGCAGATCTGGAGCCTCTGGAGAATTATGCTGTCAGGAAGGCGGCGGGGTTTTGTCTGTGCTGGCAGAGAGGGGCTGCCAGGCCCGGTGGGAACGCTGCCCCCTCAGCCCTGCCTTTTGTTCCTGCCGTGACATGGTGGAGGGGCTGGCCGGGTCTCAGACCAAGCGACAGAGAGGGGACGATCACGCCCCGTCGTCCCTGAGACAGCCTGAAATCGGCCGCCAGTCCACACGGGCCCATTCTGCCGTGTTTGACATGCAGAGGATGGCACTCCAAGCGGGTGCTAATTTTATTTCACCTCCTTACCTCTCCTTCACAGCTTTGCCTGCTTTCCTGCCTCTCATCAGGCTGAGAGATCCCCAGTGACTGAAGCCAGTCGGTCTGACGCTCGTTAGCAGGCGATTAAACGCATCGAGGAGGGATGAGTGTGGCCTGGCCTGTTTGTGTGTGTGTGTGTGTGTGTGTGTGTGTGTGTGTGTGTGTGTATGCGCGCGCGCGCGTGTGACGGCTGGTGTAGAGATACTGACTGCTCACCCCAAGTTTTAAAGCCCCAGCAGTGTATTTCAGAGGAAGGGGAGTCGCGTTAAAGCCCATCGCGGTGGCCAAACGTGCTGCTTGTCCGTTTGAGGTTGTGATGCTGCTTTGAGCTTCCTGGTTAGCACGAGTCTTCCTCAGTTATAGCTAACCTGGCGCCTTTTGTCTTTCCCAGATGTGGGTAGTGATTTTCTATTTAAACCCAGCTGCAGCAGAGCTGTGCATCAGCGCGAGAGGCACCGTTCGACAGGCCGCCTCTTAGGCGCGTTTTTCCGAGGTCACGCGCCAGCTTTGGATGTGTTTGGCTGGACTGTACAGAAGATGGGTGGTCTCTGTAGGGGTAGGTCCACGGTCGGTGGCTGTGAGGATCTGAGACACAGCAGCACCACGTGTAGAGCGGGAGAAACCGAGACCAACTTCTCATAGTTCTTAATTTAATTTCCAAGCGGAATCAGACCCTGGACTTAATGGCTTTTGCGAAGCTTGTCCAAAACACAGGGACTGCTTGTTTGTGCGTAAATGTTGTATTTATGTGTCACATCGTATCCTGTTCAGGAATGAAGATGAATCACCTTATTCAGGTTAGAATCTGTAGATATTGCTCTCCATATGTTTGCAGGTGGGTCGTGTTTGAATGCCTGTTTCAGACAGATGGACAGAGATCCTGTTTTCTAGCGAGTAGCTGCTGGTTTATCGTGATAAATGCGTTAGTGTTGATTAATCTGGCCATCTTAAGGGCTTGGTTGAGGTCCCTGATGTGCACAGTGGGTGACGCTGCCGAGAGGGTAATAATGAATCAGCCTCCAACCCATGAACCCCAATCTTGGAGGAAGATGGCGCCCCCTGCTGGCACCTCTGTGAGTCATGGGCGTGGGCAGAGAAACCTGGACGCTGGAGCCTGGCTTCTGAATTTAAGTGAGACTCATTAAAAACGGCACGTTCACAAGCCCTCATGCCTCTAAGGAAAAACGAATCATACTTGTGTCACCATGTTGATTATGTGACCAGTGTGTTTTGTATCGGGCCAGTTTAATGCCTGTGCTGGGAGCTTCTGTTTTGACTTAAATGGTCAAACTTATGGTTACTTGACTTACGGTCATTTTGCTGAGCGAGATTCAGAGATGGGGGAGCACTATGGTGCATGAGATTTTGTGTTACGTGATCAGTCAGTGACGGACTTCAGTGGGCGTTAGAGGAGGATATGCAGCGTACGGAGGACTGTGTGTGTGTGAGTGTGTGTGCAACTGCGCCACACTCTGTGGGATAAGCAGGAGGTGTAGCAGTCAGAAATCGGACCTCCTCCTCCTCCTCCTCGAGCCTCCCGACTCGCACCAGGCAGCCTGAGGGGGGCGTGTCCTGCGGAGCCCTGTGTAGCGTCCAGTCTGCAGTCGGCTCTGTGCCCAGTGGACCCCCTTCTCTGCTAATGAACTGGTAAAATCACAGGGCTTCTTGCCTCTTGCCTTATAATTTGTGTAATTGACTCTTTAGGCTCTGGAGATCCTGAAAGAACATGCTGGGGTAGTATGACTCTGAACACGGCCGGGTAAGTGTGCCAGACTGAACACCGCTGGCTAGCACAGTTCTGGCGCTGAACACGATTGGCCAGCTTGGATCTCTTGATGTGGGACCTTTGTTTGCCCCGATGACTGCGATCTGATGGGACGGTGAGGCTCACGGTCAGGACTCAGGGGGACCTCACCATTCTGCAGGCACTCGCTCACAGCCCCCCCTGCTGACACAATTGGGGCACGGCACCCCGGGGGACCGCCTGCAGGCACCTGACAGGAACGTCCCCCCGGGGCCAGATGCAATCGGGCCGTAAAAAACCACGGCCTGCGGGAGGCATCTGCTGGAGCCCGTCTGCATGCGCAGAAGCGCAGAGATGCGCAGACTGTGTACACTTAGCAGACGCTTCTTATCGAAAGCGACGTACGTTTTTCGGAAAGCAGGGTCAGCTTCTCCTTGGAGCAGTTCCATGGGGTAAGAGCCTTTCTCACCAGCACGGCGTCCTGACCCACCGAACCACATCCATGATGATCCTCTGATCAGCATTACGGCAGTGTGTTACGGTGTCACCCTGCATGGCTGCACACGGTCTGCACCTCAGAGACTGCACCACTGTCCCACAGTGCGGTGAGTCGCCCTCTGGGGGCCTCCTGTGGGTGACCCGGCGCAGCACCGAACCCGGTGCCCACTCCCACAGCCGCGTAGGGGACACCGG